CATTTCCCTGCCATTATAATGGGATATAACCCAAGAATATCTCGTAAATACGCCGCTGGGCCTGTGCCCACAGTCTAGTGGCCATAAAGCAATTTGGCCAAGTGCGTGGCCCGGACACGTGCCAAACAATATGGCATCTGCATCTCGGCCAGTTTTATTGCCTTCGGTCCGTGTCATTATCTCCAGTTCCATGCTGGTCGACAGAACGGATTTCCGCTGCCTTTCATGCAAATCGCTAGGGGGAGTTTTTAGGGATTCTGTGAAATGTGCTCACAGAGCACAAGAAATAAGCATTATTAATTGGTTTTTTTTGTTGACAAAAAGCTTGATTTAATTTACAAAAAATATATAAAACTCCATGAGATTTGGAAGGTATTACAATTTAAGATCAAACTAAACTTGCAAAAGTTATAATATAATCTAATATAGATTTGGTGAATCGATTAAGAAATAGTAAAAAAAGTAATGAAAAATGAATTTTAAAAATAATTGCTTCAAAGATTAAATAGATTTTCGCAATATGCTTATCAAAGATAACGCTGGAAGTAATTTAATGATATGCTGATTATTATAAAATTCAATTATTTTTAAATTTATATGTAGCTTCTATCTGTTTATCTGCATAGCAGTTATCGCTCAAGAGTGTTTGCCGTGCTCAATATTTCCAATTTCGATTATCAATTCTGGTTTCCTTCGGGGAATATTCTGGGGTGCCCAGTGCCCCCAAAACTGTATTATCACGCGCTCGCGACGTTTGTCTTTTTGCCTTTTGCTGTTTTGTTTCGCTTCGGTGGGGGATTTCATTTTGTATTTTTGTGTTTGTTTTTGTTGTTCTCGCATTGTTGCGCATTGGCTGTTTGCTTTTGCACTTTGCTTCGTGTTTTTGTGTTGAGAGGTGTTTGCTTTTTATTTTATTTTCTCGTGTCTCCGTTTCTCTGAATCTCCGTTTTTCTCTCTTTTTTTTCATTGCGGTGCTTACTTTTTGTGTGTTTTTTTGTTAGTCACTCTTTGGCAGCGGTCGCGAACGTTAGTAAACGGCGGGTTATTCAAACCCACGCCCCCCTTTTCGACACCTACGCCTCTGTCTTTGGAATTATCATATGCGAGTGTGTGAGTGCCTCGGTGTCAGCGTGTTTGTGTGGAGGTCTTAACGGTTAACGCGCTGGAAAAGTGGAGCGATAAAAACAAAAAAAAAACAGTTGAGAATCGGAGTATAATGCGTGACATGTGCTAACCCCCCGAGGTAGAGTGCTGTTGCTTCTGCCGTCAATCACACGAGGGCATCAATCAAATGCTGACTCTGAAACTGAGACGTACAAAGAACAACCCAGTAAAAGGGCAACTAAGAGAGACATGAAGAACTTTCACAATGTGCTTTATTTCTACAGTCCAACTTCAATAGTTACAACTTTTCGAGTCAATTAACTGTAATATTTTTATTTATAAAACCCTGTCTAAATAAAGATTGTTTGAAGTCTAAAAGATTGACGATAACAGCATAAGTTGTATCAAAGCAGGCGATTTTTTAAATACCACTGATAACAGCATTCTACGCTTAAGGTTCATGAAATGACGTGCCCGCGACTCTACAATTTATAAACTTAAGAAATTTATCGCATTTCACTGTTTAAGTTCATAAAAGATTTATCTTCATCTGTATATGTAAATACTTTTAAATATTTTCCTTATCTAAACTTTTAAGAATTATTACTTCAGAGAACACTTACATTTTATTTTCGTGAACTTCCTTAGTTTGGTTAACATATTTTAAAGTTTGATTAGGTACGTTTGACTGTGTCGCTCTTCCAGTCTGCATATCATTTTGCGGCTCGCTTCACATTTACAACTTCCGCTACTGGTGTCACCCCCCACCTTCTTATTTTTTACCCTGTAACTTTTTCTTTGTCAACTCGATGGCCGCATTTCGAAAATTTAAAACTTCGCGCTGTCGAAATCGCATGCATACGAAAATGAATACGAACGGCGAATAAATAAAATAAAGCGAGTAGGCTTAATTTCATGTGTACATATTTACACACAATTTACATTTCGGACGTTTTCGTTTTGGTAGAGGCTTTCGCAATTGTGTTGTGTTGCCTAGTGTGAGTTGAGCTTGAGGAGATATATCCAGTAGATATTATCTACCCCAAAAAACCCCCTCGATTTGACCTCCCCCGCTTGAAAAGCTTGCACAGCTGTTCGGCTCGAGCGTCTATGATTGAAAGCAGCTGTTGTTGCTCAGCGAAAAATTGGGTCAAACTGTTGCTGTTGCCGCTTGTTGTTGCTGTTGCTGTTGCCTTTTGCCGCTGGCAGTAAACCAACCAAACTTGTCTGTTGGCCAACAAAACGACACAAAAAAAAAACAGCTCAGCTCGTAGCTCTCTGAGGTTAGCTTTGTCCGATATCGAGCTCAGATTGCGATCAGCAGTAAAAACGATTGACAAGCAGTTTACGGTTCTGTTGGCCAAGTTTAGAGAAGCGGCCAAGAGAACAGAAGCCGGGCAGAAGAGTGATCTCGTCGATGGGTTCCCACCAGCTGAATTAATATATTCGTTAACCACTCGGAAGGAGACTGGTGGGAAAATGTTGTACTAAACTATAAACTATCAATTATAATTTATTTTCAAGTAGATCATTTAATATTGTGGTTTTGGTAGCCTCAAACACCTGTCCCATCAGCTTTAACAATTGAGGATTTTAGCTTTGCAAAATAATTTTCTTTTTTTGTGCTCTTTTTAAGATACTAATACAACACTCAATTAGCACATTAAATATTAAATCAAAAGGTAAAAATGCCTGATTTAAATGTCATTGAAAATAAAAATCGCTTTAAATAGTTTAGATAGTTTACTAATGGCATAAGTTATTGGCAACTATAAATTTTAAGTGCTGCATAAGCACTTTAAATATTCAGTCAGTAGTTCAACATTGAAAAATATTGTCTTAAATGCAAAGCAAATCTCAAAGTTCAAGCGCATTGAACATTATTTACCCGTTTTGTCATCTGACGACAATATCGTTTCAAGTTGTTGTATTATTATGGACAATTTGTCATTGAATATATTTTCCGCCATCAACCGACTCAATTATTATTGCCATTTTCTTGCTTGAGCACTGTTAACCTAAATCAGTTAATAAAAACTATATAAATATTTTTAAATAGATAACAGGGTTAAAATAATAGTTTTTTTTATATGTTTTTAATGGAAAAATGCTTTTAAAGAAGCCATGGCTTTTTGTTATCTTCTATTTTTTTCAATTACAGAAAATACTTTGTCTTGACATATGTGTTCTTATCTTTTGACTTTTATTTTGAGGTGGTGTTCTCTTGTCATTTAACTTTAAATGACATTTTAACAGGGAATCGTGGTTCTTTTTTAGGTCTCTTAATAATTTGGTTTCTTACAATCAATTTCTTAAGATCTCAAACAGGAAATTATGGTGGGGCCGATCAATATGTACATAGAGTAACAATTTTGTATACCTTGTGTGTTAGCGTTTGACTGCGGTTGGGCTGATAATGAAGCCAAAGCCTTGGCTATAAATATTTCATTTATAATGTACTTACAAATGTGTGCGAGTGAATTATTATTACACCGACAGCTTTCATGCCATAAAGCGATGAACACGTGTGTGAGTGCCCTCCCCTTTTCGCCCCCCCACACGCTCAACATTTCGATGTGAACTTATCAGATGATCGCTTTCAGCCCCTTTGCACGCCCCACTCTCATAATTAGAATCCGCAAAATACTCGTTTCGGCGATGGGCAAACACATGATTGCACTGAAAAAATATTGATATTTAAAGAATTATCAACTCGATATACTTTTTATGAGGCTTTTAAAAAAGTCCAAAATGATCCCAATTTGTTTCGCTCAGAATGCAATCACCTCCGATCATGTAGTAATATAAGGGTCATTGGAACCGAAACTGGGTGCCTCTCAAACTGTGAGCACTTTGGTGCCGTAAGAGAAATAAACAAACAAACAACGCCAATGGCTTTTCATTGTTCTTACTGTTGCGCGTGTGCCTGCAGAGCTTAAACTTTTCCAGTACAGTGGAATTTAAGTAATTTGGACTACAATTATGGGAATATTATTAATTAGTATAGTATAGATAGTATTCGAAACTTGGCAAAAGATTAAAAGATTTGGCCTCTTCCAGCCAAAAGAAAGTAGGCAAAAATAATCAAATTTTTAACAGGGAAGAAAACTTTAAGATTATTTATAAAGATTTAATTTTATTCTTTTATGCATTTATGTATTAAAGAGACAGAAATTTGATGTATTTACTGATCAAAGTTAACTTCAGGCTCATGATCAGTTACTTTAGAACTCACTCGGGTTACTTTGGTTGGTGAAAATTCAAGGTAGTTGAGGTTGACTGTAACTGCTGCAGTACAAAAACAACAACAAGAACTGCAGCTATAGCTACATATTTACTGTTAATCGGGCGGAAGAGCGAGCGGACCCCAAACCACACGCCCACTTTGTCTTCGTCGCTCGTCTTTCATCGTCACACAGTTTGACACGCACTGTGGGGCCACGCTCACGCTTGCTCTTGATTTTACCCGCTCTTTCTATCTCCCTGTCCTCGCTGGCCTGGCACAGTGGGACAAATTAACACTCAGTGGGAGTATTATGTACCACCGAATGAATGACATTCAATACCCTGAATACTTTAACCCAACAGGATCCTGAATGGACAAATCAAAAAGCATCACCAGACATGGGAACAAACTAATATTTTTTTGGTTAAAATATTTGTTTATCTCTGCAAATTTAAAGATGCAGAATTAACAATTTTTTATGAGGACCAACAAAACATAATAAATAATCTCAAAATGAAGTTATAGATGCCATAAAAATGCCTATAAATGTTTGTGAGATACTTGTCAATAATTACATTTTCAATCAGATTTTCGACTATTTCGACCACTGTGCCCAGTCGTTGGTTGCCGCGTTTCCCCAAAGCAAGAAGCGGCTGGTGATTTCAGTTTAGAGAACGCTGCGCTGCCGCTCGGTTCGTGGCGCGATCGAAGGTCCGATTTGAACCGATCCGATCTGTTATTTTCACCGCTTGCATATTCATTACACCAACGCCGAGTCGACCGAAAGCAAAAACAACAGCGACAATTACGCGGCTCTCCCTTTTGAATAATAGCAACAAAGTGAACGCTGGGCGGTAAGCGGTAAAAGGTAGACTATACCGCTCTGCCACATCTACATATTCGCCTTACGTGACGTAACAGCGTACTTTTTGTTATTGTTTGGCCTGCTCCCCAAACGTGTGACTATCTATCTATATAAATATATCTGTACGCGAACGTATATATCTGAGTGTGGCGTTTTCATGAACGCGTTCGTGATCTTTGAAGCAAAACAAAGCTAAAGCTGTCCATTTCACCGCGAAACGCAGCATAAGGCAACGGCCCAATAATCATCGGTTTTCTATGTGAATATACGTTTATATATGTACATGTAACCGAACAGCGAACTTGGTCAGAAAACCCTAAAATATAGACGTAGCTGTATGGTTTTTTTTTCTGCCGACGTCATGCCAACAAACAACCAGTGGCTAACGATTTATGTAAAGTGAAAACAACTTTGGTTCTGGCCATGTTCAAGTAAGTTTTGGCCTGTCAAACTGTAGCCAACACCTGTTTGTGGCTCCCAAACTGTCGCCCTGCCTTAACAGGTTATCGCACCCCCTGTTCCTCCACTTAATTAGCCTGCCCAGTGCACAAAATATGAATAAATAAGAGCACCACATAATAATTATCATTAGCATAGGCATTCAATTAAATTGCTTTGCGTTCTGTTCGTTTGTGTGTTTGTTTTCCAATTCGAAGTCAAATAAATAAAATCGGGCAACGAATTATTGCTTATATGGCTACAGCATCATCAACAGCAACAATAATCGCGGATTTTGTAAACAACATTTTTGGCCCACGAATTTTTGGTACCCATTTAATAATAATTTACCCTTCCGCTTTTCACACAATGGGTTGTATTTAAGCAAAATTTTTTATCAATGTAATTTTAAACATGAGTTTCTTAGCTTAAACTGTCTTTAAAAAAAAATCATTTTAAAATACTTTATTTATTTAATATTTCATATAAATCCTGATTCAAGATTCATTCCAAGAATTTTTTATATAAAAAGCTGAGTTTGCCATACAAATATTTCCTGATAAGGTTTTTAAAGCAATTCTCTGCCATTTTGATTACTTGAAAGTATTTAGTGTGGGCTATGATTGTTATTTAAATATAGATTAGACGTTGCCATTTTCAAAGCTTGGGAAATAATGCACATTGAATTAAACAGCAGTTATTTAAAAATAAACATCCCAATAAGGCTTATTAAAATTCAGTCAATAAATATGGTCGACTCCCTGCCGAAATTGCCGGAGAACCGAATACAACCTGCTCCACATAAATAAAAAAAGTTTTTACGTATTCGTGTATATGCTATACAGCGAATTCAAGGCCAATATCACTTGTTTTCTCTTCGTACATTGGCAAGAGGCATTGGCCCCGTACCCCGAATAAAATGTTTTGCATTTGAAATTGAATTTTTCACTTTCGGTTTGGCAGAGGCAAAGTCACTTGCATTTGAAACGAGTCTGCTTAGCATTGATTTAACACTCAAATATCCGGTGGAGAGGGCGCGTTCAAAAATCGTAGAACTTTGAAAGCAAGGCAAGAATACAGCATAAAAACGTTGATTAGTCATGTCGCCGCTGCTTCCCAGTTGTCTACATAGGAGGAAGGTATAGTGAATAACACCTGAGTAGCCCTACAATAGCACACACACACACACATACAGACCACTCTATTTTCTGCGGTGTGTTGTTTTTTTTGAAATGTGCGAATTGCTAAATTCTAAGTTTGGCGGCTCTGTTGTTTACCGCAGAAATTGCGTCTTGGCTGTTATTTGCTTTGACCTGGAGTCTCAAGAGGAAGCGGGAGAAGCGGAACAAAAATATATTGCGCATACTCCAAAAATGTTGGGGCCTACGCGCGTTATCGTCGTATCGATAACTGTGGAAAATAACAAGAAATATAACAAAAAAAATTAATGTTTGGGTGGAGAAGAAGGGGGGAAAGTTTGACGGGGTAGGCTTATCGCACAAATACCACACATAGTGTTCCTGTTTATGTTTGTTTAATTGATTTCCAATCAATTATCGTGTGTAACGCAACTTTCTCTATAATTCCCTCTGTTTCGTGCTCTATTTCTAGATACGGCTGCTATGGATCCAATTTTCTTCTCGCCAACGAATGGTATACCGTCAGAGAGTAAACTCGCTACTTATATGGTAAGTTTGCTTATTTTATCCCCAAACTTTTTATCAAAGTTCCCCTGAAAAATAAAAAACGAAAACAAGGCGATAACACTTTATGTGGAAGAATATCTTAACCCCCCAATAGAAACCACCCACTGAAAACAGCTGTTGACCGCCAAGTTAACAGCTGGCCACGTTTGCTCAAGTATTTTTAATTATGCTTCATTTGTTTTCACTCAATTTACTCGAACCATTTCAATTTCAACGCTTAGTAGCACATAATATACACTTGACCGACTTTTTCGGTCTCTTTTTATTTTATTTTTGGGTCCACTGACACACAAAGTGCCATATAAGTCGTATATGCACGTTAAATATCAATTTGTGTTTATGCATGGATTTTTTATTCTCTGTGGGCAAAACTTTGAGTACATATAACTTTAGCGAAGCTTGAAAACCACGGGAATTATTAACAATAAAATAGTAATGTAGCAGCCGAATAATTGCCAAGAAAGTGTGCTAATGGAAAATATAAGGAATTTAATGGCCATAAAGTCGAGCATTTGCCGCTTAAATTAATTTGTACAATTCAAAAATCAGCAAATCAAATGGAGCAATTCGATGAGAATATGGTGCAATACCATGACATTTATTAATCAATTTTATATACGTAACTTTTTATAGCTTTTAGGGATATGGTGGCATATTTGTATTTTCTTGTTAATTTGAAGAAATGATTTAATGTTTAACCGCAAAGGAAGTTTAGATATTGGGAACAGAAATTTCTTTTGCAGTTGAAGTATTTTATTAAATATTTATTTAATAATAATAGTCGATCTCAGATCCTTAAAGCGCACGTTATTGTATAAGTTATAGATAAGATGTCGTTGTATACGATTATCAAGAACGGTTTTGTCAGATTTTTCTATAAATTCTTTCTTTGTCAAATAAGGGTGAAGAAATGGTTTGTTATGAATAACATCTAATACATGAGGTCTTAAGTAATGTATTTTTATGGGAATGGCACTGCAATGTCTGATATTTCAAGTTGTGGACTTTAGATAAGATAATGACACAAGCTCTATAGTAGAGGCTATGGTATCTGTAGCAGACGACACTCCACAGATATTTTAAACAATACACTTAAACCCCAACTGATTGCTCCCCATCCATATCTGTAATTCTTATGATCCAATTATAATTTGCTCAGCCATCTTTAACTTCGAATTCCCAAGCACGACTGAATATCTTACTATTTTCTTTGTATTTCTCTGAACTTCTATCTATCCGTCTACTCCGATTTTTTTGTGTCTCATCTCAGAATCGACAGAATGTCGCCACACCGAGCGGTTATGGGCTGAATAACGGGTTCTCACTACTTAATTTGGATTCGCCCCTAAATAAAAAATCCCAGGTAAAGCCGTAAATATCTGGTTCCCCCTCCCATTGTTTTCTTTGACATCCACGAAACGCGTTTGTAAATGTTTACGTAGAGGTTTATATTAGCCCTTTAGTGTAGTAGTTAGTTTAGTGTTATACTATCCTGCAAAACGTACAACAAGTGTTTATCTGTGTGTTGTTAACAGGTCTGTTTTAATTAATTACAATTTTCTAATTCGGCAAGACATTGTAAAACTGATTTTATTTGGCATATGATTATTTAACCAAGTTGGTGCTGTTACTTATTTACTTATTTTAAATCCACTTTAACGAAATAGCATAAACAACTGTTTTAACATTTTGATTACATGATTATTTAAATTATTAAATTGAAAATAAGTAAGAAAAAAAATAAGGACAGCTTTTTCCTGTCCTATCTAAATATTTGAGAACCTTACCACATTAAGCAAATTCTTGCCGAATTAGAAAGTCGAAATGGTGATTTTGGTATCTTTACTATACATTACTCTTCCTTAATGGATTTCCCATAGGTCACGCCGCAGTCGCCCGAGTTCATTCCAACGCGCATAAACTCGACCCCCAACTTCTACGCACCATATCACAACGCGCCCATGCAATTGAGTAATGGGCTCAACGGCGTCAATGGGTTAACAGCCGCCGCAGCAGCAGCAGCAGCCGCCGCAGCAGCCGCCGCCGCCGCATCAGTGCCCTCCTCTACGTCATCGGTAGCCGCCGCTTCCGTGACCATCAGCAAAACGGCCAACGGCGGCGCCTCCATGCTCGCCCTGCAAAAGTCCGCCTCCATTGCCACCGTCACCATCGCACAACAGCAGCAGCAGTCGCAGCATCCACAGAAACAGCAACAGCATCCGCCACCGGTGGGCGGTGGAGCGGTCTCCGCCGCCTCCGCTCCCATTGCGATCAGCGCACCACCGAATCCCGCCGCTGCCCCCTTTGTCAGCATGTCCGCCCAGACGCCATTAAAAGGACGGGGTGCCATGCTGCGCCAGGAGTCGCCCACGGCAGCCATGCTGGCGGGTGGAGGACCCGGCGAGAAGTCGCCACCTCACGGGATGACGCCGCATGGAGCCTCGCCCATACCCACATCGTTGCCCACCAGCGTCCATCAGGTGAGTGTGGTGATCCAGTCAATAGAAAGTCACTTACTAATCATATTTGAATCCCTTCCTCAGGAGAACGTCGGCGGCACCATCTACTTCTATCCAACTGCCAACGCACAGAACAGCCAGCCCGTCGTCAACTCCGTGGTGGTGGACACAACGCACCCGGCCCACCACGGCGTTAGTGCTGTGGCGCCCATGAGCGCCGTTGGCGGGGTTCAGACGACCATAATGTACACGGGGCATGTGTATCCGGGACCGTCCTCCAACGTTATTACCCTGCAGCCGAAGACGCAGCTGGAGTCGGCCTTCTTCATGCCAGACGAGATGCGCTCCGAAGTCCTGGCCCGCAACGAGATCTCTAACCTGATCATGGACGCAGCGGAGGCTGCGCAACACGCCCTGCCGATGGAGGTGGACAACTACCATGCGCTGTATCCGCTGGAGCCGCCGGCACAGCCGATGCACGCCAAGCTAACGCTCCCCGCCAGCACTTATCGGGCCACGCACAACACGACGGGCTACAAGTACTGTCTGCGAAGGTTACATGGTGAGTTACTTAGGGAATCCCTTTGAATTCTTTTGATTAAACTGTATTTTTAGGTTTCCGCCTGCAGTCGACCAAGTGCATGACGTTAGTGGAGATGTGGAAGAAGCTGCAGCACACGAATGTGGTACAATTGCGTGAGGTGTTCACGACAAAAGCATTTGGTGATAACTGTAAGTTGGGAGAGGTCTCTAGAACTATAAGCTTTAAGTGTGCGTTTAATGCTGCTCTGGAATTAAAGACGAAGTCATCTTTATTATTATGGGGTAAATCCAGAAGGTTGCAACATTTCGAAATAGAAAAGATTTGATAGTTAAGCTTTAGCAGATACGTTTGGTAAATCCTAATTTATGATTGACGAATTTAGCTACTCGTGGTCATGATTTATCAATAAAGAAAATATTTCTTAAGGTTATGTTTGCCGGAATCCATTGCGATTGCTGGTATTATTTATAGCTCAACACTTAAAATTTTCTTAATCTCAACTTGGTAATCACTGATAAAGAGAGCGTTAACCTTGATTCCGTAAAAATATGGTGACATTTGATAGGGTAAAGCAGCAATTGGGATTTTTAAAGGGAATTATACAACAATTATCATGTCAATAATGATTATCGGGCACCCACAGCTTTAGTATTAGTGTACGACTATTATCCCGGCTCACAAACATTACTGGCCAAATACTTCACACCAGCGCCAGATACCAACGGGTACACTGATCCATTCCAAGGCGAGGCACGCCCCTTCAGGTGGGTTTTTCCTTTCGACAAGATTGTCCAATTGTTTCAACTAATGCAATATTTATTTTACAGTCATAAGAGCAACATGCAGCGGACGAGCAATGGACCACTGCTGCCGGAGGCCACCATCTGGTCGATCATCATGCAGCTGACCGCCGGCTTAAAAGCCATTCATCATGCAGGTCTTGCCTGCAAGTAAGGAACTATTACAATATTATTCAGACAGAAACTTATTAATACTTCGTTTCAGGGTTCTGGATCCCACAAAGATCATAGTGACGGGCAAGCGGGTACGGTTTAGCTCCTGTTGCATCTCGGACATTACACAATTCGATCCGAATGCGGCCAATCCCTTGGCCCTCGTTAACATGCATCAGCAGGTAAATAGTTCGTTTGTTATTTTACCCATGAAGTTGATATTAATCATTTTTCGTATGCCTTCAGGACGATCTGACCGCTTTGGGTCGCTTAGTATTAGCGCTTGCCTGCCGCTGCCTTCAATCCGTGCAACGCGACAATGTCCAGTCGAGCATCGACATGGTCACGCGAAACTACTCCACCGATCTGCGTAACTTCATAGTGTAAGCAAATCTATCTTTAGGTACTCTACTTTTTGACTAATCATTGCGATCTCCAGTTACCTCTTTACCACGAATAACCGTCGTTCGGTGACCGATCTGATGCCGATGATTGGGGCCCGTTTCTATACACAACTGGATGCACTGCAAAGTCAAATTGATATGCAGGAGGACGAGCTGGCCAAGGAGATGGAAAACGGGCGGTTGTATCGCATTTTGGTTAAACTAAACAGCATCAATGAGCGACCCGAGTAAGTTTACCTATAGTCGAGGGTCAAAATGAAGACACAAAATACTCTTTTTCGGTGTAAAGTGACAAAAGTTTTAAAGTTTATAACCATAACTGGAAGAAACATCGATGCAACATCGATACATTTAGTGATACATACCTATATCCACCCCTTACAGCTTCAATCTGGACTGCACTTGGTCCGAGACTGGTGATAGATACATGTTGAAATTATTCCGTGATTATTTGTTCCATTCCGTCACTGAGGATGGCCGGCCCTGGCTAGATCACGCACACATTGTACAATGCCTCAACAAGCTGGATGCTGGCTGCATAGAGCGCGTAAGTAAAGTCGGAATTGATTGCATTGTGTGTTAAAGAGATATAATAAGCTAATGAGAAATACACCTTTGTAGGTGCAACTAATGTCCCGCGACGAGCAATCGGTACTCATCGTCTCCTACGCTGAACTCAAGAATTGTCTGGAGAACGCCTTCTCCGAACTGATGTCAAGTGCGGCCAACTGAGCACCTCGGGGGAAAAAAAAACAGGAAACCGGAAACAGGAAACTGATTCTGATAACTGAAAACACGCGCAGCTCACTTAGCCACCCTCCGCACGACCACAAAGCGACTACGATTAAACGGATTAGCTACTAAGCGAAACATTCATTACGACTAAGACATTTTGAGAACCATAAACAAATAAAATACGAAGATGTTTATTGTTAAGCCAAAACCGAAAAAGAAACAAAAACAAAAAAAAATGAAACCCAATATCCAATGTTATGTTAGCTCTTAACTAAATTTTAGGCATTTAAAACAATACAAAAAGAAACAACCACAACCACAAAAATAAACCAACAACAACAACTTTTTGAAAACGAAATCTCTCCAAAAGAAAAACGCAAAACTACAAAAAAAGCAAACAATACAAAAAAAAACAAGAAAAAATCAACTTAAAAGCAAAAAAATTTGAAAAATTTGTTTAAAAAAAAACGCAAAAAAACACATAAAAAGGGAAAAAGAAATCACGCGAAAAAGCCGAGAAAACATGGATCTATTTTTACAGAGCTAAGAGAGGATGAAAGTATTTATAAATATGTATTAAAAAATCGAAAGAAAAAAATTGTAAAATTTTGCAACAATAAATAACTGTAATGACAAACAATTGCAAAAGTGCAGCAAAATCGTTGAGCAACAACAAAAAAATATGAATTCAATGCAGAGTAGATGGATAAGGATTATGAGAAACGTAGAGAACGTAAGAAAGTGAACAAGGAACCACATAAAATGTTTATAAAGCATGTCTGACAATGATCGCCTGCCTCTTCTCCCCTACAGTAAACAAAAAAAAACGGAAAAGCAGTTGAGAAACCGAAATGAAATGGAAACGAATGGAAAAGCGAGAGGCGCAGACGAGCAGGAACGACAACCGAGAAACGTTTTTTATTTTTCAAACTGTGTATTTTTTATAGCAAAATATTTAAAAAAAGAAAAAACACAAATTTTCTAAATACAATTTAAAATGTTTACAAAAACAAAACGAAATGAGATGTGAAACTATGTATTTGTAAAGAAAATATAAATGTTGGTTCATGGAACATGCAAAGCGACGCACAGCGCGACTCTAGAAATTAGTAGCTCAACGAGATACTCAAATCTAACTGAAAACAAACTGAAAAACTCTTAAAAACTGTAACCGAAACGAAACCGAGAGCGCAACTAAAATTGAAACGAAATTGTCTAGGCCAATAGCGTGATATGTAAATACATCCATTTTGAAAGAGTCTGCGACACGCAATATATACATTCGAACTATTTGTGTTGGTCCATGCTAAAATACACTCTCACTAAATGATGCATACAGGTGTAATGCCACGCACGCGCTGAACTTCCGAGTACAATATTTTGCTAATGAAAGTCTGTCTCTAGTTGTAAACTCCTCCCCGCTATATTCTTCACTCCACACCGAAAGTCGCGTTGCGCCTGCACGGCCGCATATCACCCAACCGAAAAAAGTCGCAAGCCGATCTAAATCGGGTCCGATCGAGAGAACGAGGATTACTAAAAGGCTTCAACTACTCCGCACCACCACCAAATCACATGAAATGAAAAAGCAAGGAACTTTTAAATACATATAAAGGACAATTTGATTTCGAGACTCTTTAAAACTGCATGTTAATATCATTTTTTGTTGCAACGAAAGAACGATGGAAAGAAACAAATCTAAAGGATCCAATTTTACAGAGTCCACTCATCAATCCTCTAAGCAAAAGTTTCCAATTTTGGCAATTCTATCCTAAGTGTTATACAAGAGTAAAACAAAACAAAATTCAAACCTGTAGATGCTGTGGTTCGTTTACCAGCCTAGTGTGATTTATACTAATTTTGTACTTGTTAAAAACTCTCGATTTATTCAGACCAGAAATTATGGTCTATGCAATTCAGTTTTACTCAAATTTTACAATATTTTTCTTGATTTTATACACTTTTGTACTTTTATCTCTCTTTCCGTTTGTCTAGATTACTGCGTACTTTATTTTTAAATTATTGTGTACATCAACGTAAGACTAATTATTTAATTGAAACGAAAAACAAAATGTATAAAAAACTTTTTGAGAAAACCAATAAAAAAATAATAAAATTTTTAAAAGCTATGTGTTTTGGTTATTTTAAGAATCTCTAATTTTAAAGTTTGTTTTAGGAGTTATGGGAGCTCGATCTCATTTGAAATAAGATCAGCAATCAAATCCAATATAAGATATTTTTAAGGTTGTGTTTAATTTCTTTGCTGTTTTATTTTATTTCAAAATCAATTTCCCCTGATCTTGATAATCTTTTTTTAAATAAGACATCCTTAAATGTTTCCTTTCTTTTATATTTATGTACTGATAAAATGAAGGAGGAAATGGGGATTAATATAAGAGGCAGTTATAAGAGTTGTGCCCCCAACAATTGAAATAAGATATTTAAAGGCATGCGCACATTTAGCCATTGTATGAGGGCCCATTTTGAACAGCGCGCTCACAAAATCCATATCGAGGGAGGGTTCAGTCTCACCCCCAAAAGAGAGCAACAATATTTCATGAAACATGTCGGGGCTGGTTTTCATATAATTCCCAACACGTTCAAGCAGTTTTAGCATGGAGTAGCTGATGAAAATCGTACTTAAATTACTCTGGTTTCTCTTCAATTGTCGAATAAATCTTTCGCCTTTTACTAAAGATTTCCGTGGAGAGGAGCACTCTAATGAGTCTAAAATAATTTTTTAGTAGTGCCCTGTCGCAAGACTGGGGCCATTTGGAATAAATTTGAAATAGCTATAAGCAAAGGATATTCATAAATGTATGTTTTACATTTATGTTCTTCCCGAAGAAAACGGCTTCTTTTATGTTGTTTTATAAGTTTTTATTTTAACTACGTAATTACAACTCTATAATACAAATTTATTGTTAAAACTTGAAAATGTACAATTTTCTGTGTGTTTTGTATTATTCAGATAGGGAATGAGGATGGGGTATTTTGGGGCAAAAAGCAGCAGGAAGCTTTGTGTTATAGAGAGAAAACTGTTTCGCTTTATTTTTGGACAAAATTTCGATAGTGACTTCTTAGGCCGATTTCTGGTTGGTTGTTGGTCTCTTATGATTATCACAGTTTGCTATACGGAAGTTTCGGACACCTTCCATATAAACCTTTTTGTTACGAGTCATACGGAAATGCGAAAGTTAGTTTTGGGCCTGGCAGAAAGTAGTTCTGGTTTTGGGTTTGTGTTCGTCATTCTCATCGTTGTTCTGTAGTGGGTGCGAATTGGTAACTAAGACATAAAAACTACTTACAGCGCTAGCTAGACCTATATTTAGTGTAAAAAAATTCAGCCGAAATTTAGCAAGTTTTCGAGTATTTTTCGTAGTTAGTGGGGGAAGGGTAGCGGCGGCAGCAAAAGAGTTTCGTGGCAGTTTCGCATTACAACTAAATCTAGGGCATCGATTTCATAATATTAACAAGTCCATCCGGAGATGGAGGTCTTAGGCAGGCGCCTCCGTGGGTGCGTGGCATCCCTCGACATTTTCGGGCCAATCGCAGACGTTCTCCTGCGGATTGAAGACCAGGTTGGCGGGGCAGGGCATGTGGTGCTTCCTTTCACCCTCGCACATGTAGTAGTGGGTGCAGTCGGCCCAGTCCTTGTGGTAGCTAATGTGTCCATCCTCCTCCGCGCAGGTGACGTCATGAGCTGGTCGGAATGGTGATCATTAGTTAATTGCTTTTTGGTTAATCTTTTTTATGCACTTACGATCTTTGGTGGTGTAGGCTCCTCGTGGGCCGTGGGACTCATAGGGTCCATCGTACTCCAGCTCCACCTTGTAGTCCTTCAGCTCGTCGCTCAAAGCGGTCAGCAGCGGGTACTTTCCACTGCCGCAGCGGCCGGAGAAGTCGTCCATGTCGATGGACCACACCATGATGCCTCCGAAGCCCTGCTCCTTCAGCCACTCGGTCTGTAAAAACAAGGAAAAGGTTGAACATTTAGAAATAACCCATTGAGAAAGTTAAGATAATATACAAAAAGGATACATATTGTTTAATCAATTGTTTACACTTTAAAATCATTCATTAAATATGATAATAGAAAGTGGCTTTGCATGAACTTCGGTTAAATCTATTTAAATCCTAATTTGTCAGGTTTAATTACGATAACTTAAGGCTATTTAATATCTTAATTTCCTTTAAACTCACCTTGGTCTTGAGAGAACGTTCATCATCAAAGCCAACCCATTGGTTGCCGCGGTAGGCGAAGGGCACCTGCTGCTCCGAGTCCCAGACGAGCGTGGTGTTGTCCGCCGCCAGGAAGGAGCATACCTCGTAATAGCTGAGGAATCCGGCCTCGTTGGTGAACTTGCCCGCCTTGCCGCCGCCGGACGAGGGGGATCCGATGTCGAACTGGGTGTCGTTGACCAGCTCAAAGCTGCGTCCGTAGGTGGGCATGCCGATGAGGAGCTTCTCCTTGGGAGCGCCCTGCTTCACCCACTCCCTGGCACTGTAGTCAACGGTCAGTTTCTTCTGGTAGCCAGTGGCCGATTCCAAGGCAAACAGTGGCGAATTGTGGCCCACTGTGCGCTCCCACTGTCCGTGGAAGTCGTACGTCATCACGTTGATAAAGTCCAGATACTTGGAGATCTCCGGCACATCATAGCCAGCGGCGATGGCCTCAAAGGAGGCGGGCACGGCGGCGGTGAGCAGGAGGCGTGGCAGTCCGGAGGACTTGGCCTCACCTTCAAAGGCAACTCGAAGTTCCTTTAACAAACTAACATAGGCCACTCGATCCTCGGCACCACGGGGGTACTCCCAATCCACATCCAAGCCATTGAACTTGTAGTCGCGTAGGAAATCAATGGCCTCGTAGACAAACTGATTCATTCGGAACACATTTGAGGTGAGCTCTTTGAAGGGAGTGGAACCAAAGGCCCATCCTCCGATGGCCAGAAGGATCTGCAGATCGGGATTGGCATCACGCAGGGCAATAACGCTCTCATAATTCTCGGGATCATCGTCGGTGGCTTCGGTCAGCTTGTAATCCTGCAGAGTGGCAAAGGCATAAACGATGTGGGTGCACAGCTTGGGATCGATGTTCTCCGGCTGGAATTTGCCTGCTCCTGGTCGCTTGGCCGACCAGCTGGTCAGGTAACAGAACACCTGAGCGGGACGAGCTGAAGGGATGAAAGGAAACATTTATGGATTGATTTTAAGGCATTGGATATTCGACTACTAACTGTTTGTGGCGACTGCATTTGCTCCAGATTTAATACGATGTTTCTTCTGAACCTGTGGCTTGCGCACCTTATTAAGGACCTCATCCACAGAAATCTTGATGGGTTCGGGTTTCTGG